TGAGCTTATTATTTAGCCATTTTACATCTTTTATTGAAAAGAAAAGAACAGTGCAAGTATTTACAGAAAATATGTTACAAAGGCAGACATAAGCAACAGTTAATTAAAAAGGTTTAAAAGTGAAACAAACGTAGGGTCCGCCTGGTCTTTGGTAGAGTGCGGAGTCTGAATCACTGGAAGAGTGAGTCCAGTTTGATGTTTCAATAGTCCGTCGTAGAGTGACTGTCTGCAAATCTTATGAGTTCCCATGGTAAAATGAAGAAATATTTACAGAAAATATGTTATTGGAGTTACAGCTGTACCAGTTATTGATACGATCTCCTTTTGGAAACTCAGATTGCACTCAAAGGAAGATATTCTTTGGACACTATTTCTGTAATAAGTCTAGTTATTAAATCTGATTTCAGATCAATACAAAACAGACCTGTTATGTACCTGGGACCATTTCATAAGACTCATGGAGCAACAGCTGTGGGAGGGATAGTTGTTTTCCTTCATGACCCATTGGGGTGATTTAGTAAAGACAAATAGGCTGTTCACTTTCCCTTAGCTTAGTGAATGAGGTAAAGCACTGCCTACTTCCATCATCCAATCATGTGCAAGCAAAAATACTGTTTTAAAAAAAAAAAATCCTTGAACCTGATTGGGCATTCTTTGCAAAGTGAATTTATACCACATTCACTAAGCTAAGGTAAACTTCCATTGCTAAGTGAAAATTCCCTTGTAAAGTGAACAGCCTACTTGCCTTTAGTTAATTAACCCAATTGTTAAATATCTGTGATGATGTGAAGAAAAAAGGTAAACAATTAAAAATAAATCACATTTTGGAGTATTGTTTCTATATTTGTTTTTGTTTAAGTCACATGTGTTATCATACCTGTGTGAAATACCTGAAACATTTGTTTAAAAAAAAAAAGAAGAAAAAAAACAACAATGTTTCAAATAAAAACTTTAAAAACATGTAGAGCTAGAAAGTGAAATGGATGAGCATGCCTACTCCTAAAGGAAGCACTCTCAATCTCTTGCAGGTTAATCACTGTTTCTTCTGCTCTTATGAATTATGTTTAAAGGGCTGCTATCAAGTTATGTTACTGTTGAAATGCTTAGAGGACATAAACCACTAAATTTGCATATTTACAGACACAGTCACACAGACACATCAATTGACAAAAAGGATGTTATGGAACTGGGAAAAGTATAAAGAAAGGCAATTAAACTAATAAGGGGAAGAGAGGGACTTGGTTATGAGGAAAGACTAATAGTAGTTATTGAATTAACGTCTGAGAAGAAATTATGAAGGGAAGAAATGATCACTTATATAACTGGTTACGATGGCAATTAAGCAGAAAGACTAACATTTTGGGGTCAAAAAACCTCCAAAATAAAAACCTGCTTATCAGTTTACAAAATACTATATAGATACAAACCACTTATACAATATCTCTCTTTATAAAAATTACGTAAATTCAAACGTCATATACCAAAAAAGTAGGGCTGGTAATGATTAAAATTTTCCTGTTCGATTAATCGAATTTTTTTAAATCGATTAATCGACTAATTTCGATTAATTATAACGCACATACAGAGGGGGGTCTCACCAGAGCATAAAGGGGGCCTCACCAGGGTAGCAGGGCTCTGTGGGGTCTAACCAGCCTTGTTAGAACAACAAGAGGGCGCAAAACTAGGTCAGCTGACTGCCTGGACCGAACATATCAGGGAAGGTGACAGGAACAATAAATATATATGTATAATGTACTTACTTATGTGGGTCGGGGAACCAGATGTGAACCGGCCTGTGAGGAGGATCAGGATGTCCAGAATGTATGTTGAATGGCGGCAGCCTCAGGCAATATATCAGACTATATATCAGAATATAGTCAGTTTCAGCCATATTCTATTCCATGTTCTATAGCTTGAGCAGGGTGCTGTAAAAAAAACATACCAGCGTGGGGGGACAGCGGCCGGGAACATCGAGGCGGGTCTCTGTATCAGGTGGCTGCTGCTGGGTCCTCGCAGCTGAGGTAAGGAAGGGAAGGGGGAGGAGTCCGGTGACGTCACGGACATCGACGTCAACGGACTCCTCCCTCCTTCCCTTCGTTACCCATCACGGACAACTACATCACCCGACTCCTCCCCCTTCCCTTCGTTAGCCGACAGAGCCACTCGGGGAGGGGGGGAGGAGTCCGGTGACGTTGATGTCCGTGACGTCACCGGATCTCCGACGGAAGCCGGCGGAGAGGTGAGTACTTTGATCGATCAAAATAATTTTGATCGATCAAAGAAATTAACGATTAATCGACAGATTAATCGTTAATTTCCGCACCCCTACAAAAAAGCAACGGTACTTACTTTACTTTACCAAATACCCCAAAATAATAAAAACCAAGAACAAGATTCCCCGTTAAAAACATATCTAACAAATGGCCATTTAAAGGGGATTAAAAAAAAAAAAGAAAACAAACCCTCAACAATGTTTATGTCAAAAATCCAGTTGCATAATCATATCATATAATCATATTTATTGTACAAGATAGGGCTGTAGATCCATGCAGTGAAGACTCTTGTTGATAATGTAAACAACATTCAAAGACAATTTCTCCAAAGATTGATGTAAACTATAACCCCCAATGTATTGGATAGTCTAAATCTTAGTGATGGCAATAACAATAATTATCCTCAAATTTTCACAGTTACTCAAAGTCCAGCATGACAGACACATCCAATCCAAGATATGTGACCAATATATGACCAATAGGTAATCTATGAACATTTTCAAGACAGTCTCATCCATATAAAGTGCCATTATAGTAGTCAATGAAGGTTGATGGAATTTATATGTATTCCTGAGTGACTGTATGACACTAGCAGGGTTATTCACTAAAGGATGAAGTTTGGAGAAGGCAGAAGAAGTGAACAATCTAGGCCAAAATAGCTGATATGGAGAAATTCTCCAATTCAGCTCACTTTCCGGTTCAGCTTTGTTGTCCTAGTTCACTTCTCTTGCCTTCTCCAAACTCTTCACCCTTTTGTGAAAAACCCTGCAGGTGTTCTCCACGACGGTCAACATAAAGGCACTGCAGTCATACCTGGCAAATGACAGATATCTGCCAACTGTGCCTAATAAATATAAATAACTCCCAGTATGGTCACCGGATTGCTCCACTGAAATGGAGCCACTATGGCCCTTATCTCATGTGTCAGTCCTTCAGTTTTATGTAATAGGCATGTGAGTCAAATATATAGTTCTCCAGCTGTAAACAAATGCACCCCATTTTGTTAGCACAGTATGGTGCAGGGGTAGTGAATTAAATTCAAGGAGGTCTGGTGATCCAAATTTTCTTTGAGCCGAGGTCCGAATCACGGCCTGGACAGAACGGTTACCCAGCCTGTGTCTGCACGACGGTCTGCCATTTAGACTGCAATGCACAGCTGCTGGTGTGTTTTCCCAGACACAGTGCTGATGCATCGATGCCAGCTCATCACATTTTTTAACTTTTTTGTTAGAACTTTATTGAAATGTCACAAGCTTCACTGACAAAAGGTTCAGCATCCATCAGAGTGCCCCAATACATCAGTTCTCCCCATCAGAGAGCCTCTTTACACTGGATGCCCCCATAAAGTGCCCCCTTAGATTAGTTGCTGCCGTTGGAGTGCCCCCCTTACAATCGTTTCTGCAATTGGAGTGCCCCCTTACAGTGGATGCCCCCATCAGAGTGTCTCCTTCCATTAGGTGTCGCCATCAGAATGCCCCCTTACATTAGATGCCACTATCAGAGTGCCCCCTTATGTTAGATGCCCCCATCAGAGTGCCCCCTTACACTGAATACAAAAAAGTAGGCACTCTGGTGTGGACACCCAATATAAGGGGGCACCCTGATGGGCACAAACAGTGTAAGGGGCACTCTGAAAGGGCCCCCCAATATAATAATAATTAGTTATCCCCATCAGAGTGCCCCCTTATTTTTGTATTTAATGTATGGGGGCACCCTGATGGCAGTAACTAATGTATGGGGACTCTGAAGAGGACAACTAATAAGTAATTCTCTCTATCAGAGTGCCCCCTTACACTGGTTGTCCCTAGAGTGCCCCTTTAAAATGCTGCTGTCACCTTAACCACTTCCATGCCGCAATACGTCTATAGTACAGCGGCCCACAGAAGTGGTTAAAACAAGAAGCAGCCGTGTTCTTGGTGTAATTTTTAACAGCCAGCTGTGGCTATTAATGTACAAGTGATCCGGCATCTATACAGGGTGTAACATGAAACATGGTCACATCGCCGCCCCTCCAGTTACCTAAATTGATAGGATTTGTGAATGAAGGGAATACAAGTCCAATCAGCCACTGTGGCAGAGAGGCCTGTGGTTCTCAATGGAATACAAGTGCAATGACGTCACTGAACTTGCAGACCTTTGACATTTCCTACCGTCTCTGTAGCTGAAAGTCCATACCGTGGTACAAACAGGGACTGAAGTAAATGTCTGTAGGAGCCAGAGCATTACATCAATAATCCACTAAGCGCAGTTGCAATCATTTATTGGCACCAAAACATTTTAAAAAACAAAATTTAACAAAGAACTTTTAAACAAAAAGGAGAGGATTCCCTCATCTTCATTGGCTGTGAACCAGCTCACTTGCAGTAGAAGTTTGAACTTTGCAGACCTATTCACTCATCTCTGCTATAAACCTTTGCTTTGTTAGAAACAAACCTAGTCACTTTTCATTGCTACAATCTGTTTTATTACTAGAAACCTTATCAAACTGTATTCACGATTGCAGCATGATACTCAGTGTAATACATTTTGTTGTGCTTGTTATATACTCATTTACACAAGTGGAGGAACACTTGTTTCTTTTCCAGAGCCATTGAGAAGAGCAATAAAACGACAGCTCTTTAAACTGCACTGATACTGATAAGGCATTAATAATTATAAGTCCTTTACTAAAAGTTTTGCTGACACTTCTTTCTGCTTTAGGTGGTGCTTTTTCAGATGAGTGCCAAAGGTTCACTATAAATACCATCTGCTCACATTGCGAGTCATCACTTTCATTAAACATCAGACTGCCCATTTGTGCTTTTTCATCTGCGTATGTAACAAGAAGGTGATATTCTGCACATCATGGTGAGGCTTGTGTTACCAAACCCTGGACTGGAAGACAGGATACAAACATATGAGGAGCTTGAGATACTAGAACAAAAAGAGGCAGGCGAAAGACCACAATGGGATAACAAAGCACAGTATATGCTTACCTGTATAGGTTTTTGTGTAGGACTTGGAAATGTATGGAGATTTCCTTACCTGTGTCAAAGCCATGGAGGAGGTATGTGCCTTAGAATATGTATATATATTTAGTTATTAGTACAAAACTGATCTTGTAAGACTTGATATGATAAAATGCAAAGTAATAACTTTTGTAAGATTTAAAATGATAAAATGCAAAGTAATACATTGTAGATAGCTATGTAGATGTTTGGACAACATTGTTTTGTTCCTTAAATTGCTGATTTATTAAAGTCAGGCTTACATAGAAACATTATTAACCGTTTTTTTGTTTCTTCTTCTTGCATTGTGTAATTTTGAATGTTTGTGAGTTGTTGATTTGAGCGTTGATTGAAACTGAGAGTTTTTCATTTGTGAGACTGTAGAGATTTCTGTGAAATTTTGCTAAAACGCAATGGAGGAAGCCGATTGTACGTTTACTTTGTAAAAAGTCTGCAGCCGGTCCATCCGTCCTCCCCTCCCCCCCTGCACCTATCTCTCTCCTCGCTGGCTGCGTCCTCCGGGCTCCGCCGCCGAGTCTTTCTCCTCTTACTGACCACCGATGTGGGGAGCAAAGCGGCAGGTTTAAAAGTACCCCTGCCGCTCTGTGTACACAGTGAGAGGGGAGAGTCGTCTTCCCCTCTCAGCTGTCACAGGAGTTCCAGCACAGTGCTGTGCTAGAACTCCTGTATTGGAGGTGACAGGGTCAATAAAGAGAACCTGTCACCTCCAATTGCTATCACACAGGGGATTGTTAGGTCCTGTGTGATAGCAATAAAGTTAGGTGAAATTTTTTTAATAAAAATAATAATTAAATACATTTTAAAAAAATAATAAGAAATAATTAAATAAAAAAATAAAAAGGTGATTAAAAAGTAAAAAATTATAAGAAAGAAATTATTAAAAAATAAGAAAATAATTATAAAAAATAAACAATAAGATAAAAAAATTATAAAAAAAACTAAAAAAAACTAAACGATAAGATAAATAAAAATTTAAAAAAGTTTAAAAAAGAATAAAAATAAAAAAAATGATAAAAAAGTTTTAAAAAAAGAATAAAAAATGTTTAAACTTACCCTGCCATTCTTCATTGATGAGGGGGGTGGGAGTTAGCAGGGATGGGGGGCGCATTGCGGAACCTGGCCTTGGGGCAGCAGGGAGAGTAAATCCGGCCCTGCCTGTCATTCTTCGGTAAACTTCTACCTGTCTGTTCCCACCCTTACTTCTCAATTGCTTTTCTGCCTTCATGTACATCTTGATTAAGATGAATATTCCAAAAATGTGTTTCTTTGGGGATCAATAATATAAAGATTCCACTATTAGATACCCTTACTCAAATAAGTAATACGTATTTTATACTCATGCCTTTCATTCACTGACCACCACAGTTTTAAAGTTATGCAGGTAATAAGAGACCATTCAGTGTGACAACATGACAATTCACATTTTGAGGTCTTAAAATGCACCTGCTCACAATGCAATAAAACCCATCATGTCTACCTTAATTCCTGTCCCTGCAGCAGCTTATATTAACTCTATATAAGCAACACGTCCACAATGTAGAACAGATTGTAAAATCCCTTTCAATCAATGGAGATGTGGAAAATCACTTTTTATGTGCTGTCGTTACTGAGCAATGAGCAGTGGGAAAGTAGAGGTTTGCTACCTTTTATCCAACTCTCCAATATCTTTGCAGACACAATCATTTCTGACCTCTCAACGCTACACACTTGGACACAATTTCCTTTTATGTTCGCTATGAGTGAACGTCATGTGACATTGTAATTTTTATCTGATGACTAATAGACTCATTAAAAGCATGTTACCTTTGCTAATGTGTGAATGAATGCATGTAAAAAATATATTTCTAATGAACACATTCTTTGTAAGATTTTAACATTTTGTAGACTTGCCTATTTAATAGCAGACCACGTATTGCATTTTGTACTTCCTTATTATTGGATAATTGTGATGAATGTTCTTTTTGTGATGTTTTTTAAAATTTAATTTGAGTAGAGAGAATCTGTTTTATAAAAACACCTCTTGGGACAATTTACTAGGTTAACTTTTGTACAGGTTAGAAACACATAGGAAATGTGCCACACCAAATATATTGAGTCCAAATGCATTTTATTTATTAATATAGGTCAACAATATAGATCAATATATTTCTTAATATCGGTTACAAAGGTCCCCTTTCATCAGGGCTTAAAAAACGTATTTACATGCATGGATGCTTAAAGCAATGACTGTGCTGCTGAGGCTGCTGCTGGCACTGAAGAGCACAGATCAGAAGGGGAAGTAAGCAACTTGGGCAAGGACGGCGCCGAGGAGAAGCTGATGTCTAGTAAAATTGCAGACAGTTGGGAGTTCTGAAGATGGATCAGGGTGCCTGACATAGCATATGGGGTCAGGTTGTGCCAGAGGTTCATCAATTTTTGTGGTTGGACAGGCCTCCTAATGTCTTAGTTCATCTTTTCCTTATATAATTATTGTGTGGGCTGATATCATGGGGTGCACTCATTGGTGCGTGGCTCAGTCCATAGTCAGTTTGGCTCACCCAATAGGCAGTGTGGTAGAGACTGATATGTGGTATCTTGGCCTACAGGATAGCATTCAATTGACCCTGAGGGTTGTAGGTGGGCACAAACATAAGGTGCTATGCTTGTTTTGCAAGGTCCTTGAAGGTGGTCATTCCGATCAAAAATAAAAAATGGGTAGGGACCCTTCTTAGGTACAGTACCCCTCATTATATGTGGTTGAGTACCAGTGAACTAGCGGTTTATTCATGGCTGTATCTGTTGAAAATTGTGCAACTGTCTCTGAGCTGATATTGTGTGACTGGAGACCTATCTTACAGGTTTACATAGATACTTTTTTTGTGAATTACCTCCAAAGGACCTTGGACTTGAATTAGTGTCTTGCATAGGTTATTATGTTAATTTGGGATATCAGAGTGGTGGTTAGGCAGTCCGGGAGAAGGTTCATATTTTATACTGTCACACTTCCCTGTGTGATGATCCGGTGCCGGGTTTTACCTCTTGTCCGGGCTGCTCGGATTCCTGCCAATCCACTCTGAACCTCTCCATTACAAGTCCAATGCGTCTTTACACTTAGACCCCGTTCACATTGAGCGATTTATCGAGCGGTAATTCCCGCGATATTGCGGCAAATTACCGCGCGATATCGCGCTCCAATGCAATCCAATGGGGCAAAGGGTCCTGCTGTCGCGGGTCGTGTGTCGCTACAGCAGGACCCTTTTTGGAGCGGATTTACCCGCGATTCAAGCTTGCTCAATGCAAGCTTGAACGCGACATCGCGCGTCAAATCTCGCGATGTCGCGCAATATGCAAATCGCGCGACAAACGCGCGATTTGCATATCGCGCAGTGGGAACGGGGCCTAAGTCGGACTCCCAGTGTATCACTTGCCTTTGAAATCCCTGCGGAACCTACTTTGTTCCCTGTGTGTCTCTGGATTCCCTCTTGCTCACAGTGAGATCCTTCACGTGCAGCAAGTGGATTGATCATCATCTTCTTCAGTGAGGCCTTGCACTTGTGCATACCTGTGTGTCTGTCCTCTTGTGTGGCTGCCTGTTCCATGCAGCCTCGCTCTTCAGTGTATACTGGATTGCCGTGTTGTTGATGCCTGCTCTCACACTATTCTTTGGACTTTTAGACAGTATTAAGAACCAATGTCTGTGTATAGGCTTCACCCCTGCCTGCTGTTTCATCCAGCACCTCGGTGCTGCAACTAGCTTCTGTGTCTGAAGATTCCCTCCATGGACACACACGCCATGGATCGATCGTATCCATGGAGGGAATCTTCAGATGAGGGGAGACACGGGGGCTTGGGGAAGGGAAATTTGGCACTGGATGCAGGAGAAGTTCCAATTACTTATATAAGGTTGCCAAAGGACAGCCATGGGAGCTTGCCATTCCCGCTTGCCCCTGGCTTCTCCACACCTCTTGTCCGGGCTGAGTGGAGGGGCTCCCCTGGATGCAAGTCTGATCACCATTATCATCACACATTTTATTTATGGATACCTCTATCAACTTCCTGACGAAGCTACGGCGAAACGCGTCGAAGAAAAGTACAGATTAGTACAGATTAGTGCAGATTATTTGATGAAATTTGCAATAATATTATGATGACTATTTTATTTATTTATGGACATTTTTGAAATACTGGTATTATGCCAAACAATCTGTACGGGTCCTAAGAGGTGACATGCCGTTTATGTATTATGTTTTAAGATGATTGTGAGATGTTTTTTACACTTTGTCAATCATGTACTTACCTTATTAAAAATTAGTTTTATACTATTATATTGATTAGTTTTGTGACATTATGTTTAGCTATATTCCCTTGCATTAACCGGTAGACACTTTTAACCCCTTCATGACTGAGGCCTTTTTTTCATTTTTTGTACCCATGTTATATTCCACATTTTAGGCCTGAAAATTACTTAAAACCCCCCAACATTATATATTTTCTGAATGCCAAGACCCTATAGAATAAAATGGTGGTAGTTGCAAATTTTTATGTTGCGCAATATTAGCGCAACTCCTTATTAAACCCCAATATTTAGTGAAAAATGTAATTAAATGCCCCAAAACACAACAAAATACCCATTTTTTTAATGAAATATAAAAGATGAGGTTACAACGAGTAAAACGATACCCAACATGCCCAGGTTACAAATTGCGTGCATCCGTAAAACGGCGAAAAACCCCAGTACCCCAAAAAGTCCACAGAAGACGCTTTAAAAGCCCCCACAGGTCATCAATTTAGAGATACCCCAAAATACTGGCCCTAGAATTATTGCTCTCACTCCGGCGTGCGCGGCGATACCCAACATGTGTAGCGCGTTCGTCGTTTTCATACGTAGGCGCACCCGACGCGTGTTTACGTGGCGACGCGCGTGCTCGCGGGGGCGGGGGACTTTTAAATTTTTTTTTATTATTATTAGATTTATTTTATTTAAATTTAATTTAAAAAACTTTTTTTTTTTTTTTACTTTACTTTGACTGCTATCACATGGGGGGGCTTACAAGCCCCC